AAACAAATAAATAAACATATATATATATATATATTATAGCCGGCAAAACCAAAAAGAGGAATTAACATGAAGACTATCGGTATACTGTCTCTTTCCCAGCCTTCAACCGTATGATCTGGCAGACACACTTCCTCACACAAGAAGCTTTGCTCGGCATAGTATGTCTGAGACAGGGTACTTGACGGATCATGACCCGCGTAACTAAGGTTATCTGCAAAGGTGGATAGTAGTTTCGTCTTACTTAGAACTTGTAGCTCGACTCAGGGACATACTAGGCAGATTCCTACCACAATGCGCAAGGCCTTCCGTCAATTCGAAACTGGCTGATACGGGCTCTCTCTCTCTCTATCTCTCCGTGTTTTTGGTATATTCTCTATATATATATATATATACATATACATATATATATATATGTACAATATATATATATATATATACATGTATATATATATATATATGCATGGAATGATTCTCATAAGCAACCCTTAGCAGTAATCTCTCTCAATCTCTCTCCGTCTGCTCTCTGGCCTGGGCGATCATCTGCTGGGCGTCGTCCTCCTTTAACCTCCATGTCTGGAACTTGGCTCAAGGCTCTCTGGCCTGTTGGATTGTAATGTAGAAGCCAAAGTAATTTCCTATATTATTGTTAGGGTTCCTTATTATGAATATACTCTAAAGGAGCCCAATACCCTATTCTAATCATTAAGGCCCCTACAGTATGCAGCATTGACTCCACCTATGTTGCATTTCAGCTGCTTTCAAGCCCTTGAACCTTCAAGCGAACCTGTCGACCTCAAGGCATCACTAGGGTTAGTAATTAAACCCTAAACCCTACGCTCTAAACCCCAGGGTTTAGGCTTGCATCTTGAACGGACACCCAAACCCACAGTGCTTGATTTCATCTGAACGGGCTGACACGACTGCTTGGCGGCCACGCGACAGGCAGGTCTTGGACCTAGGGCTTGCGTGTATATACATATATATATATATGTGTATATATATATATATATGTACACATATGCATGTACAGATATATATATATATATGTATGTATACATATGTCTGTGTGTGTGTGTGTAGGTTAGAAACGGTGCTTTGGGATTTGAGCTTCAAGGTTAAGCAGGGTCTTGAGGGTTTGAAGTCAGGGAACAAGTAGCGTTGAGGATAGGAAGGTAGCTTTCGAGGCTAGGATGACATACTTTGTGTGGCAGGGGCGGGGCACAACAGGGGCATCCCCCAGACATTCCTGTATCCCCATTCTTGAGCCCTAAACCCCAAACACTAAATCCAAACGGCCCAAACGCATCTGATGTGCAACGAATAGCGTCTTCGAGCATGCGCAACATGCCAGTGTCCTGTCTGGACTGTATAGGCTCTCTTTGAAAGAATTCTGGGAATCTAGGGGAGGCCTTGAATTGAGTTGTTTTAATATGGTCTGGGGGCACATTACGCAGTAGAGTCAGAATCATACGGAATACTAGTGTTAGTAGTTATGGAGTGTGTTCGTGAATATGGGTTGTATGCTTGAGAGACAGTATGAAACGATATCCGAACTAGGGAGAGTGTTATCCAGGCACCTATAGGAGGCTGCCACGATCCGGCTTAAGTGGCCGAGTGATTTGTGACCGTGTGTTCAAGGTTCAGGGTTTGCGGAGTTTCAAGCGCGTCAATTCCCGCAGTCTCGGGCCGTCTCGGGCCTGTCTTTGCAGCAAGTGTGGCTCGAAAACTTCGTCATAACTACTACTGTAGACCACCGAGACCAGCAAACATGAATATCACGTGTCCGGGTATTATTACGAACGAGATCATCCTGGACCCGTACCTGAATGCTGGTCAGTATGGGGGCGCTATATTTGGAGCAGGATTACCTGCCTTGTTCTTCCTGGCTTCCTGGGGTTTCAACTGCTGTCGGGTCATTGAAGATGACGAGGGCGGTTGCTCAGCCGTGGATAGCTGGCCCGGCTTTTGCTACCGGATCCTCTACACCGGCTACTTCGCTCTCTTCACCGTCTCCCTGCTATTGCAGCTCCTTGCGAGTTTTTTGTCCTTAGCTGGTGAAAACACTGAGCTACTCTTTGCCCGGGTGCTTGTCGTTTTTGCCTGTGGATGCCGGCTGTGCCTAGTTCGATCGACTAGGCACTGTAGTATCTTAAACTGTATGATTTTGGGTTTAGGCCCCAAACCCCTGCAGCCCTAAACTGTATTATTTTGGGTTTAGGGTTGAGGGGTTTTGAATGCTTTCATGTGTGAGAGATCCTTACTGTAAGGACACCTTCCTACAAACCCGTATAGAAATTCTTTATAGAGACCCAGACCCCTATAGAAGGCCCTATTTAATAAAAACAAGAAACGTTACAACAAAGCCTGAAGAAGCCCTTGTCGACACCTTCAAAGCGGCCCCGACAGTGGCCCAGGTGTATCGGTGTCGGTGTAGCTGAGAAGTTATTTCCGAATCGTCTCTGGATCCTGGCTTCTGGGCTTTCTTACTTAAAGGTCTTCCTTGATGGGATCGATTGGAGTTTGAACGCTTTTGACCAGGGCTCTATAGGGATTGTAGAAGAGATTTACAAGGCGTTTTTTTGTATGAGAGAGCGCCTGCGAGTTTTTTGTAGAACTGCCTTGAAGGGCTTCCATAGTTTGCCAAGGGCGTCGTAGGGATTTGCAAGGTTTCGTCACCAAAGTGTCGAATAATTGGGTACTGGGGTTCAGCAAAGAGTAACGGCGTAGCATAGTATCTACCGGGGTTCACGACAGTACTCGTGTGTGTCATAAGGGGTCGAGGTTTGTCTAGAGTTCCTCAAGCTTTAGCTTCGGGTAGGGCTTCAGTCCTTTCGAGTGCATGGCTTTGCATCAGCACTATGAGCCTTTTGGGACCTGGGGTAAAAACAGCCGAAGCTGAAGAACTCTAAACTCTAAACGAAATCCTAGACCTCTCCTGCACTTCTAAGCCCGCCAAACTTACCAATCCAAGTCCTGAATCTCTGGGCCCTTCCCCCTCTCCCTTATATCTAGAAGTGCTTCTATAAGTGCCCCTATATATGACATACTTTTGCCGTGGGTGGCATAGAGTTTAGGCTTGGCCTATAGTCTCCATTGTAGTTCCTTCTTTTGGTAAAGCAGCTTCCCGAAAGAGGATCCGAACGATATATAAGCCTTGGTTAGCCAAAACAAGAAACTACAAGGGAGACTATAACCCTAAACCCTGAACCTACACATAGTCACTTAGAAGGGAAAACGGAGCAGGCTTGGATGTCCAGTGTCGGATTAACGTTGGGTTGCGCCGCAGTCGTCGTGGAGGTGTCCACTGCCTTCGGTACGCAGGAGATCCGGCATAGATGGGTATATAATTCTCTAAATAAACTTCCCTGTTAATGGGTCCCCAAAATATTACGGCACCCTTATAAAAAGGACCCTAAAAGGGACCCTAGTTTAAAGAGCTACCCAGATGTTGAACTTATGCCATATGCCTCTTATTTAGGCCTCCGACATGCTTCACAAGTTTGTAGGTCTGGGGGCTAGGGTTGATAAAGGTCTCTTTCTCGTGCTATGCTTAGTGGTCAATCGATCAAAGGCCAGACTGCACGACATGTTTAAGCCAGTTCCTTGTAAGAAATTTGAACGATTTGTTCATGGACTGATGCTCTTTCTTGGGGTGGAGTTTTATTTGGACATTCATTGCAGTAGCTATGTTGACCCTTTTTGAAAATGCAGGAAGGCAATGAAACACCCCAGTCATATGTCTCAGGTACATGAGCAGTAAGGCTATAGTTGGACAATCCTACTTCGCGGCCGACCGTCCTGGGTTGTAAACCGCGATCAGGCATAGACGGACGCATGACATGTCGCAGATGCCTGTTCCCAAGCACCCCAGAACCCTATAAAACCCTAAACCCTTAACACTCACGCTAAACCCCAGAGCCCCTAAACCCTAAACACTCACCCTAAACCCCAGAACCCCTAAACCCTAAAAACTCACCCTGAACCCTAATCCCCGGAGCCCCTAAACCCTAAACTCTCACCCTAAACCCCAGAGCCCCTAAACCCTAAACACTCACCCTAAACCCTATAAACCCCAGAGCCCCTAAACCCTAAACCCCTAATCCCTAAACCGCGGTATTCCACTGGTCTCCGAGGATCCCGGGGAACTTGTCGAGGCCTCTTTCGTCACCGTCGCATACGCCTGGATGATCCTGGCTTGGACACTGGCCTCATGGAAGAACCCGAAGATCCGGCCCTACTTGAAGATTAAGGTGCTAAAGTTTTATAGTAAATATACATATACATAACGATGTGTAATTATATATATATATATACATATATATATATATATATATATTTATTTATTTATTTATTTATTCACTGTACATAACTATGTGTGTGTGTATATATATATATATATCGCGACAGGTACATGCACCGCATAAACGGTTCTCGGGATCATCCATCTAACATCCGACAGTCCTAACCATCGTGAGGAGCTACTACCCTCAGCTCTCCAGTCTGAACCAATCTAAACCACGAAAGCCTTATAGCTGACCCTAAACCCAAAGCCCTGAACCCTAAACCCTAAACCCTAAACCCCTAAACCCTGAACCCTGAACCCTAAACCCTACAGAGGTGCCTGCATGCGTTGTCCTGATGGCAGCATTTTGGGTGCGTGCACTTTTTGAGCCCAGCTGTGGCCCGCGAGGCGCAGGGTTTCGGTATAGGGTATAGGGGTTCAGGAGTTAAGGTTTACATTAGGCGTTTAAGTGTTTAGAGGTTTCGGGTTTAGGGGCTTTGGGGTTTGGGGGTTTAGGGGTTTAGACCCTAAACCCTAAACCCTAAACCCTAAACCCTAAACCCTAAACCCTAAACCCTAAACCCAAGCCCGCGAGGTCATGTCGAGTGCTACGCCTCATGTGGACTCGGGGCCGCTGGCATCCTGGCCTCTGACCCATAGCCCAAGGGATCACAGGTTTAGGGTTTAGGGTTTAGGGTTTAGGGTTTAGGGTTTAGGGCGATTCATAGCGACTTATATGTCGACCTAAAGAACTAACCCTAAGGGTCCATGTACCCAAATAGTAGAACATTGGCCTTAATGTAGTCCATATATGGGTACTTTAGGGTCAATGTTCTACTATTTGGGTACATGGACCCTTAGAGACTCATAGCGACTGATATTTCCAGCTAGATTTAGGGTTTAGGGTTATAGGGGTATTCACGATTGTCACAACGGCAACTCCTACTCGTAATATCGAAATCCTGCTTTTTTTCCTGCAAAGTAGAATAACAACTGTGAGTCAATTTCCATTGAACACCTTCCGCAAGCAAGGCCTTCATCCTATGCGGCAAGCTAAGGTGTTCACCACATACTCTTCGGGGCGCTTTTCTTGATCCCACACCTTCTCTTGCAGCACTTGCAGGTGGAGCGAGATAGGGATCTTGTCGCTATGCCTCGGAACCGGCTCTGCGGATCTTCTACGCGTACACAGCCCTGAAGGGGCTTCTTGTCTTACTTCCTCGGCCCCAAAGGGGCTTCGGGCGTTCGATTCTTCCGCGCTCGAGTCGTGGAAAAATAGGTGTTCGCGACATTCAGTATTTAGGTATCAGGATGATGTCTATTTAGGATTGACAGATCCTCTATAGGGTTCCTTCAGGTGTGAGATTAGCATCAAGGCCTCCTTACCTCGTGCAGGGGTGCTGTGTCGACGCAGGGCCATTCATAGCGAGTTTGATGCAGTATGTCGCCATGACGCTTCAGACCGTATGTTATAAACGGTTGTACCCTAAGGCTTTAGCCAAAGATATACATGCCTGCTTCTGAAGCAGGATTTATAGATGTTAAGGCTGTTAAGGGCTTGGGAGACCGATGCCTTGACATGACTACTACTACTACTACTACTACTACTACTACTACTACTACTCCTACTACTACTCCTACTACTCCACCACGACTACTACTGCTACTACTACTACTACTGCTGCCACTCGTGTAGCAGCTTCAATTATGTGAAAGACCCGTCTCTCCTGGCCAACCCCCAAAAAAGCAAGAGAAGGGGCCTGAATAGTATATACTGTCCCTCGAGACTCCTTTGTATAAGTATCGTGCCACGACGCACCACCCTCAAAAAATGGAAACTCCGCATTTGGGTGTAGAAGAGCACCGCAATGCTGAGAGACGCCGACTGACTCTCCGCTCTGACAGATGTGAGTTTCAGAAAATAGGCACAGAAAGAGAATTAAGCTGCAAATCGTAGGATCTTTGAAAATGTGACATAAACCCATGCAGGCCCAAAGTAGTAGGATCCACATTAATGAAGACTCGGCGTCTAAATTTGACAACTCCCTGGATGCAGGCAGAGACGAGCCACCCCAATTGAGCAGCCTCGGCACTCTATCCGAAACTTGTGTCGAGAGGGGCAGCTCCCTCCATATGGAGAGTTTAGGGTTTAGGGGTTTATGGGTTTAGGGTTTCGGGCTTTAAGTTGAAGGTTGGTTGAGCCTGCTCTTGCCTTTGTTGGCAGCTGACTCTTGAAGATCCAAGTGCTCCACAGATGATGCGCAACCCTCCAATCTCCGAGCTGACGCTGGAAAGGCGAACGCCCATCCTGTCTTTTAATAGACTTTGCGTGCTGAATGGCGCAATGTGCCCTGTGTCGAATCAAGAAGTGGTGTCTTGGAGCGCCAAAAAAAGCATATGACGTCTTAAACTCGCTCAGGCTCTGCGTAGCTGAGGAGATGTCGGCTTCAACATCGAGCTTGGTCCTGTTGGTCACAAGTTCGGCTTGCTTACGCGACTAAATGCAAATGATCAATGTGGGGCATGTGCTCGCACTAAACCTTGCTACTGTCTCAATCTGTTTTCAAGTAGATGCAGCAAGGAAGCAGATGCGCAAATTGCGGGTTAGTATGACTCGCACGGTTCATGTGGAACGTCTGAGTAAACCTTCAAGATTCCTTGCAGCATCCGGCTTCGGATATGGTCGACAGCTAACGTCTGCTATGCATAACCGATGCTTGTGAATCTCAAAACCGTCAACTGTCAGACAGCTTGCCGCTCTTGAGGCAATTAAGTGTTCAACCCTGAACCTTGCCCTGCATGTCTCATGCACATTGGAATTTTGATTCCTCAGACGATACCCAGTCAGAAAATCAAACATAACATGTGCCTTTGGATCAGTCACAAGCCTATAGGTTCTAGACATTACTCCCCTAAGCCCGTTGAGTCCCTTCCCGACGCCTAAGTTGCACTCCAACTCAGAGATCGCAGAATTGTTCACCTGCGACCTTGGACATGAAGTAAAACACAGGCTCAGTGAACATAGAGTTCTTCAGATTCGACCTTCGACATAAGCCCTAGGTCCAGATTTACCCAAGTCTTGAGGATGTGCAATTCCATTGAACCCCTAAACCCTAAACCCCGAACCTCTATAGCTTGGGCTTCTTCAATCCGACGCATCGGCCGCAGCGTTGGCTTTCAGCAGTTTCATCCATAGGTCCAGCCCGGGAACTCGGCCGCCGTCGACGAATCAGGGCTCTTAGGTCTGGGGCCTCGGGGCTCCACCTGCCTTTCACTTAAAGGAAACTACAGGTGGGAGTTTCGGGTATATAGCTTCTATAAGGCTTCTATAAAGTATATAGACCTTCTATAAGGCTCCTATAACGGTAACTACCCACCTGAAAATGTCCTAGATTTCAGCGTTTCTTTAAGGATCAGTAGGGTTTGTATAGGCGTGTTATCTGGGTTCAGGCATGCATGGTCCAGATTTATCTTGGCGTTCTTCTGGTTGGCTCTTTAGACTTTAACTTTTTGGGTTTCTATATGAACTATATTATCTAGGCTAAAAGTTTAACTTTTAGGAGGGGTTCAGAAGTACGCCAAGTTATACTATTGCAACTTGAATGGACTCTTTAAGTTACCCTCAGGGTCCAAGTACCTAAACAATCTTATACTTTTCGAATATTTCGCTACAGAACTACTATCCTAAACCCAAGTACCTCAAGTAGAGGATATAGAGCGCCATTACTTGTTGGGGGCTGTTGGGCCCCTGTAGCAGTGACCACAATGACACCCACAAGAAAACCACAACTGTTTCTTTTACCCGGTTCATCCAAAACCTAAATTTACAAGTGGCTCCAGAAGACAGGGTGCATAAAACAAAACGCAACATTGCAACTGTCCCTGAAAGGACAAAGTCTGTCGTCACATGGATTCTGCTGACCTCTGAAGTGTCTATCGTGTATCATTCTGGGAGAGTTCCATGTTGCACAGTCATGGGCTGGCAATGCCTGGGGTATTCCATCGTTGAGGGTCTCCGCTTGGTGGCACAGGGGTCTGATCTTAGGAGCTTCGGTTATGGATGCCCCCCTTCGAACTTCATGCAAATTTCTGAAGCTTCGGTTGTGGAAGCCCGTGTTTAGTCATTCCTGGTTTGCTCGATTTTCGTCTTCCGGAAGTGAGGGTCTGCATACTTCATTAGAACGGCTAAGCAAACGTTAGTTGTTGCCCTTATGTTACCCTAAGGGTCCATGTGCCAAATAGTAGATACTTTGGCCTTAAAGTAGTCCCTATATAGGTACGTTGGGGCCCATGCATGTACTATATGAATACATGGACCCTTAGGGTTAGGCACCATTTTGAGCCCACCGGTCTGCCGGCCTTCTATTATTGAGTTTGAGCTGTCGAGCTTCCCTAACCCAATCCCTTCAATCATAGCCAAAACCCCACCTCCGGCGATTGAATCCTAATCCCGACACCCTGAAACCTATAGATACAAGCATTACAGACGATGACCTATAGATACAAGCATTACAGAAGATGAGGCCTCTAATTACTCAGGTAGAGAGAGATGGCGCTAGCCAACCCCAAGCCGGATTCAGAGGTGTTGGGCTCGAGAATATAGGGGCCTTAATAATGAGAACAGGGTTTGGGGTATCTTATACCATAATTAATTATAATATGGAGCCCCCAAAACCCTATTGTAATTATGAAGGCTCCTACATTAGGTTTTGGGGATGAGGGTTTAGGCAGCATTTACGGATTGTGGCATTTAGGACGTAGGGTTTGGGGATGGCGGACTGGGTTGTCTTTACATGAGGCTTTCGTGCCTGTGACTTGTGCCCGCGCTCCGTGGCTACGTGGCTTCTGCAGGTGACACGTCCAATAATACAGCGGAGCCCGGAATCCCAGGACCAAAATCCACCCTGGGGCGTGTATCCCCTAATCTGGGATCCCAAGCCGCTCACGTTACGTCACATGCATCAGAACACAGACTTGTTACAAGCGCCCTATGTAATTTGCAGCGACATACATCCAGCTGCAGCCTCTCATGAACGGCTCAGAGCATCCTTAGAATCTGCTTAATCATCTTCCTATATATATATATATACACATACATAGTCACTAGATATAGTTCATAATACAGTTAAAATATTACAGACTCAAAACCACACTACATGCCATGCCTCTAGAGTTGGGCCTTTTTCCATCCATCTCAAGACCAGCCGCCCGGTTCGAGCGCACGCTTCCATGGCTCCGGAGGCAAGATGCGACGAGAGAAGTCGACCCTTGGCGCAGTCCGCCTTCGGCGTTGATATCGCAGGGTTTAGGGTTTAGGGTTTACCCTTGGCGCAGTCCGCCTTCGGCGTAGACATCGCAGGGTTGACGTAGGCTTTAGGGCTCGGGGCTTAGGGTTTAGGGCTTGTAGCTTTTACACAACATATACATCTACGTAACTTTATATAAAACTAGGTTGTAACCGGGTTTTGCATGCAGGACTTTTACGAATATGTTCGCCAAACCCAGATTGAGGACGTTGGGGCTTTACTGGTCGGGGCGTGTATTTCGGGCATGTTGTAGAATTGTTTTTGGCTGGGGGTGTTGGCCTGTGGGATAGTGACCCTAAACCCTATATACCCTAAAAGCCCCTAAACCCTAAACCCTAAAAGCACCATGTTCTCAGGCAGGGCGCAGAGACATTCCAGTGTGCATGCAGCATACGCGGTACTCCCAGGACCTTGTCTATATATGTATTTAGTTGTTACATCGGCATGTGTGTATATCTGCATAAATGTACGAATTAAAACAGAGAGGGCGATAGATGGAAAGAAAGCGCTTGTGTGCACATAGCATACATGTATGCATGACAAATGCATGTGCGCGAGTCTGGATGTGTATGTGTTTGTATTGAAATTTATGTGTATGTATGTGTCTAGGTAGGTAGGTAGGTAGGTAGGTAGGTAGGTAGGTAGGTAGGTAGGTAGGTAGGTAGGTAGGTAAGTAGGCAAGTAGGTAAGTAGGTAGGCAGGTAGGCAGGTACAGGCAGGCAGGTAGGCAGGTAGGCAGGAGGCAGGTAGGCAGGTAGGCAGGTAGGCAGGTAGCAGGTAGGCAGTAGGTAGGCAGGGAGGCAGGCAGGCAGGCAGGCAGGCAGGCAGGCAGGCAGGCAGGCAGGCAGGCAGGCAGGCAGGCAGGCAGGCAGGCAGGCAGGCAGGTAACATA